CTATTGTTGTCTTCCCAAAAAGACATAACCTCAGTGTTTTGAAATGTGAGAAGGACATGAGATTTGGGAGGGGCCAGGAGTTAGAATGATATGGTTTGGCTTTGTGTCCTGACCCAAATCTCACAAATTGTATCTTGACTTGTAATCCCCATATGGCAAGGAATGGACCTGGTGGGAGGTGATTGAATCATTGGGTTGGTTCCCCTCCATTCTGTTCTTGTGATAGTGAGTGAATTCTCATCAAATCTAAAAGTGTGGTTTAAAAGTGTGTTGCATTTACCCCCTTGCTGTCTCTCTATGCTGACACCATGTAAGATGTATCTTTCTTCCTCTTTCTCCATGATTGTAAGTTTCCTGTGGCCCCTCAGTCATGCCTCCCATTAAGTCTATGGAAATGTGAGTCATTAAACCTCTTTTATTTATAAATTACCCAGTCTTAGGTAGTTCTTTATAGCAGTGTGAAAATGGACTAATACAGAACATTGGTATCAAGAGAAGTGGGGTATTGTTATAAAGATAATTGAAAATGTGGAAATGATTTTGGAACTGGGTAATGGGCAGAGGTTGGAATAGTTGGGAGAGCTCAGAAGAAGACAAGAAGACACGGGAAAGTTTTGAACATCCTAAAGACTTGTTGAATGATTTTGACCAAAATGCTGATAGTGATACAGACAGCGCAGGCTGAAGTGGTCTCATATGGTGATGAGAAACTTACTGGTAACTAAAGCAAAGGTCACTCTTGCTATGCTTTAACAGAGACTGGTAGCATTTTGTGCCTGCCCTAGAGATCTGCAGAACTTTGAACTTGAGAGAGATGATTTAGGATATCTGGTTAAGGAAGTGTCTAAGCAGCAAAGAGTTCAAGATTGACATGGCTTTTTCTAAAAATGTGCATTTATATGCATAAAGAAAGAGATGGTGTGAAATTGGAACTTATGTTTAAGAGGAAGCAGAGCATTGGAGAATTTGCAGGGAGACACCTGCTAGGAGATGATTGGATCATGGGGGCAGTTCCCCCCATGCCATTCTCATGATAGTGAGTAAGTTCTCACGAGATCTGATGGTTTAAAACTGTGTGGCAGTTCCCAAAATTGCTCTCTCTATATTCTGCCATCATGTAAGATGTGCCTTGTTTCCGTTTGCCTTCTACCATTATTCTAAGTTTTCTGAGGCCACCCAGTCATGCTTCCTGTTAAGCCTGCAGAGCTGTTAGCCAATTACATCTTTTTTTTTTTTTTTTCATAAACTAACCAGTCTAGGGTAGTTATTTATCACAGTATGAAAATGGACTAATACATCCAATTTAATAACAACAAGTATATCAAACAAATCCCAATAGGCATTTTACAAAAGACCTAATCCATGGTCCTCAAAACTGTCAAGGTCATCAAAACAAGAGAACTCTGATAGCTGTCAAGGCGTAGAGTAGCCTAAGGAGTCATAATAACTAATTAGATGGGGTTCTGGAACAACAACAACAACAAAATAAAAACTATGGAAATCTAAATAAAATGTAGAATTTAGTTAAAAAAGAAGACATACATGAGGCCAACAAACATGAAAAAACGCTCATCATCACTGGTCATCAGAGAAATGCAAATCAAAACTACATTGAGATACCATCTCACGCCAGTTAGAATGGCGATCATTAAAAAATCTAGAGACAACAGATGCTGGAGAGGGTGTGGAGAAATAGGAACACTTTTACACTGTTGGTGGGAGTGTAAATTAGTTCACTGATTGTGGAAGATAGTGTGGCGATTCCTCAAGGACCTAGAAATAGAAATTCCATTTGACCCAGCAATCCCATTACTGGGTATATATCCAAAGGATTATAAATCGTTCTACTATAAGGACACGTGCCCACGAATGTTCATTGCAGCACTGTTTACAATAGTAAAGACCTGGAACCAACCCAAATGCCCATCGATGATAGACTGGACAGGGAAAATGTGGCACATATACACCATGGAATATTATGCAGCCATCAAAAATGATGAGTTTGTGTCCTTTGTAGGGACATGGATGAACCTGGAAACCATTCTCAGCAAACTGAAAGAAGAGCAGAAGATCAAACACCTGTTCTGTTCTCACTCATAGGCGGTGTTGAACAATGAGAGCACATGGACACAGGGAGGGGAGCACTACACACTGGGGTCAGTTGGGGGGAAATAGGGGAGGGACAGTGGGGGGTGGGGAGTTGGGGAGAGATAGCAAGGGGAGAAATGCCAGATGTAGGTGATGGGGAGGAAGGCAGCAAATCACACTGCCACTTGTGTACCTATGCAACAATCTTTCATGCTCTTTACATGTACCCCAAAACCTAAAATGCAATAAAATAAATAAATGGAAAAAAATAGTATATAAATATTAGCTCATTAATTGTAATAATTGTACTATGCAAATGTAAGATCTTAATAATGGGGTCAACTAAATAACAGTTTACAGAAAATCTCTGTACTATCCTCATAATTTTCTGCAAATCTGAAATGTTTAACAATAAAATATTATTAATAAAATATTACTTAATTCATATAGAATAGAAAAAAAGCCTAAGAATAATTTCATAAATTAAAAGTATTACATCAAAACCCCGAAAATATATAAAAATAATTAAAATTATTCTGGGAAATAAACAGTTTCAGAACTAGTCGTCTGTATAGAGGTGATAAATATCTTTCCCATTTATGTTCTATCAAGATAAATGAAAGAATACATTTTTCTACATAATATTTCTGTCTTTAATTTTACTGTGTGATTTTTTTTAGCATTAGAAGTCTAAAATATTGTTTCAAATAACATATCTTTATTATAAAATTACTATATATTCATTGTAGAACATTTTGAAAGTATCAAAAAGTATAAAGAAAAAATAACAATAATTCACAATTGTACCAATCAGAGATAACAAGTTTTTAAGGTTTTAGTACTTCATTTTCCAGCCATAATATTTTATTTTACTAAAATATTTAAAATGTTATATAGAATAAGTATTTCTATATTAATAGATAGTATTTAAAAGATTATTAAAGATCATTTAGTGAGTGTGTATGTGCCCTAGAGTTTGAGTACACTGTACCACTGGGCATATATTTTTGGGAAATGCAAATAAATTTACATATAATAATATTAGTGAGTAGCTATCATATAGATTATACCTACATAATGACATTTTGACTGAATGCATTTGCTAGTATATCAAATAAAATAAATAAAATAAAATAAAACAATTGAGTCTTAAAACTAACCTAACTAACATCCTAGACATAGAGTCACTTTGATTGAAAATCATTTTCACTTGTGAGGGAATCATTCATTCAATAAATATTTGCAAACCTATTATATGGAGGCACTATTCAAGGCCCTGTAAACAATAGCTAACCAAAGTGACGCAGTTCCTGACTTCACAGAGCCTACAGTCTAGTGCAGTCAGGGAGAGGTAAATTACATGTGTTTATGAGTAATATCATATAGTAATAAATGCTACTGAGAAAAATAAAGAGAGAAGTAGGATAGGGAATGAGTATGCATGGTCAAGGCAGAAGAATTGCTTTCTGATCATAGGATTCTGGATGGTTAGATTTTCAGAATCTAGGACAGATCAGAGTATTTTATAATTACAGAGGAAAGCACAAAATCAGGTTGGAAGTTTTGCAGGGTGATAGTATGGAAGTCTTTTCATGAATACCATAAATTCAAGAGCCTCTTTTAACTTCTGTCCTGGTGACATGAAGGAGGGGTAAAGAAACCATTTTGAAATATGCCAGAGCATTCCGTTTTTCTTAACAAGGAATGCCCTCAGGAATTTTTTTTTTTCCCTTTAATCAGAGTCTTACCTGTTGGGGTTATGTTAGGACCTCACTGATCTTGGGGATGGGAGATACCCAACGTCATCCCCCTCTAGCAGTTCTCTTCCAGTTAAGTAGGGTGAGGGTAAATGAAGAAGCATTTGGGAATTTTACAGCCCAGAGGTACAGGCAGGCTTATTAAGAGATTAAAACTTAATCATAAGACTGCAGAGCCTATATGACTTTCACTACATTACTAAAAGCATATTTATTGTGATTTCTTTTACTCAGTACATCATGCTAACCTTTCGAAAAAAAATACAAGGCAGACCAACAGGCAAAACAACACAGTTTATAACAACTGAATAAAGTATCAGAACCAGAATCAGATGTGACGGGAATTTCTTGGAATTATTAGACCAATTATTAGACCAGCATTAAAAAAAAACTATAATAAATATGCTAGAAGATTTAATGAAAAAGTAGACAATGTGAAAGAAGAGATGAATGATAAAGCATAGAAATAGAAATTCTAAGAAAAAAATTAAAAATGCTAGAGATAAGTAATGTTACAACAGAAATGAAGAATGCCTTTCGATGGAAACATGTCTTTGATGGGAAAAAAAAATCTCTGAGTTTTAGGCGATGACAATACAAACTCCCAACTCTACAAAACAAAGAACAGACTGGAGAAAACAATATATGAGAACAGAATGTCCAAGAGTTGTGGGACAGCTACTACGGATTTAACATATGTTTAATGCTAATAACGGAAGGAAAATAAAGAAAAAAAAGGAACAGAAGCAATCAACAGAAGCAATCATAGAAGGAATAATGATTGAGAATCTTTCCAAATTAATGTCAGACACCAAACCACAGATCCAGAAAGTGAAGAGAACATTAAGCTGAACAAATGATATAAAAGCTACACCTACATAAATAATATTTAAACTTCAGGAAATAAAATATAAAGAAAAAAATACCAAAAAATAGTAAGTAAAGAAAAAAAGCATCTTAGCTATGTAAGAGCAAAGATAAGAATTGAATCCAAACTCTCCTCAGCAACAATACAAGCAATAAGACAGTAGAGTGACATGCTAAAAAAACATAAACCAATCTAGAATTCTGACCTTGTGAAATTATTCTTTGAAAGAGAAGGAGAAATACTTAAAAGTGAATTGAGACTTTTTTTTTTTTTTTTTTGGCTGGTAGACTTGCTATACCAGCAAAGTCAAAAGAAGGTCTTCAGAGAGAGGAAATATGATATATGTCAGAAACTTGGAACTACATAAAGAAAGAGCATTGGAAAAAACTAAGTGAAGGTAAAATTTTCATAAATTTGTTTTTTAAGTTCTTAATTAACTTAAATAGCAGTTTGCTCATAATAACAGAAAGTAATGTATTTGATTGTGTATGTTTATGTGTGTGTGTATATATATATATATATATATATATGCTTATGTATAAGAGAAATAAAAGATAATGATAGAAAGAATTAGAGAAAGGAATTAGGATTTTCTTTTTAATCATATGGTACTTGTCCTACAAGTGTTTCATAGTGCTTTTTGAAAGTAGAATTAGATTAGTTAGACATGTCTACAGTAAACTTTAGGACAACTACTAAAACAAGTAAAAAATAAATTATAATTATATGTTAAGAATGAGAGAAAATAAAATCAAACAAAATGTTCAATTAACCCTATAAAGGACAGAAAAAGTGTAGAAGACAAAAATAAGAACAAAGACAATAAACACAGAAAACAGTAACAAATATAGTAGGTATTAATCAAACTATATAAATAGTTACTTTAAAAATCAAGAGTCCAAATACATCAATTAAAAGACTAAGATAGTAATAGTGTATCAAAAATCAAGACCTAACATATATTGCCAAAAAAGAACTCATTATAAATATAAAGATGCATATACATTAAAAGTAAAGGGAAGGAGAAAGATATTCCATGCGAACACTAATCAAAAGAAAGTGAGAATAGTTATATTAATTTTAAATAGAGCAGACTTTAGAGCAAAGAAAGGTATCAGGGATAAATAAGGGTATTAAATAATTATAAAGGGGAAAATACTCCAAGAAAACATAACAGTCCTTAGTGTGCATGTGCCTAGCAACGACGTGTCAAAACACATGAAGAAAGAACAGATAAAACAGCAAGGAGAAATAGTTGAATACACTGTTATAGTTGGAGATTTTAACACATATCTATTATAAATCTATCAATAGACAAATCAATCGAGCAGAAAATCAGTAAAGATATACTTGAATTTAACAACACCATCAATCAACTGGACATAAATAACATCTATAGAGGTTTTTCACTCAACAACCGCAGAGTACACATTCTTCTCAAGAGTATATGAAACATTCACCAAGGTAAACCACATTCTGAGCCATAAAACATGTATTCACAAATTTTGAAGAACAAGAATTATTCAATGTTTGCTCTGAGACCACAGTGGAATTAAACTAAAAATAGATTACAGAAATACAGCTGGAAAATCCCAAAATATTTGGATATTAAATAAGGCGTATCTAAATAATAATTGGTTCAAAGAAAAATCTCAAGACAAAACAGAATATTTTAAAGTAAATTAAAATAAAAATACAACTCATCAAAATGTATGGAATGTAGAAAAAGCAGCACTTGGAGGCAAATTTATAGCATAGAATGTGTATAATAGAAAAGAAGAAAGATTTAATGTTAATTACCTAAGCTTCCACCTTAACATATTAAGAAAAAAAGAGCAAAATAAATCCAAAGTGAGCAAGAGAAAGGAAACAAAAATCAGAGTAGTAATCAATAATATCACAGATAGGAAATCAACAGAAAAAAATCAGTAAGACCAAAAACTGACTCTTTGACAAGATCAATAATATTGATAAGCCTCTAGCCAGGTTACCTATGGAAAAAAGAGAAAAGACACAAAATGGTACTATCAGAAATGAAAAAGGAGACATCACCTTAGATACAATTGATATTAAAAAGATAATCAAGTCATATTACGGACAATTCTATGGCCATAAATTTGATAACTTATATAAAATGAACAAATTCCTTAAAAGATACACCTGCCAAAGTTCACACAGTGAAAGTTAGACAATATGAAGTGTCTTGTATTTATTTAAAAAGTAGAATCCATAATTAGTATTCCTACAAAACAGAAAGCACCAATTGCAGTTGGGTTTACTGTTGAATTCTACCAAACATTGGGAAAAAATTAAACAAATTCTGTACAATTTATTCCAGAAGGTGTAAGCAAAGGGAATACTTACAAACTAATTCCATAAGGCCAACATTGTCTGAATTCCAAAAGAGACAAAGACATTACGAGTAAAGAAAACTTTAGATCAATATCTCTCATGAACATAGATGTAAAAATCCTCAAAATACATTAGCAAATCCAATGCAATATATTTAAGAAGAATTGCACACCATGACTAAGTGGGATTTATTCAAGTATGCAAAGCTCATTCAACATTTGAAAATCAGTTAATGTAATCAATTACATCAACAAAGAATAAAAATCACGTGGTCATATTAATAAATTCAAAAAGTCATCTGACAAAAATTCAACTTCCATTGATATTGAGATCTCTTGGAAAGCTAGGAATAGAAGGAACTTCCTTACTTGATTTAAAAAAATATATAGAAAAATATACAGCTAACATAATACTTAATGGTGAGAAACTCAAGGCTTTCCCACTTAGGTAAGGAACACAATGAGACATCGCCTCCCACCACTGCTTTTCAACATTATACTGGAAGTCTTAATTAATGCAATAAGGCAAAAAGGAAAGAAAAAGTGCACAGATACAGAAAGAAGAAACAAAACTGTCTTTGTTTGCAAATGACATGATTGCCTATGTAGAATTTTTTTTTTAAATGACAAAACGTTTCTTGAAATTAATAAACAATTTTATCAAAGGTACATGATAAAAGTTTAGTACATAAAAGTCAATCACTTTCATATACCAGTAGTAAAAAGTAAAAATTATAATTTAAAACACATTACCATTTAGATTATCCTTAAAAAGTGAAATGTGTAAGTATAAACCTAACAAAATATGTGCAAGACTTCTATGAAATAAAACTACAAAACGCTGATGAATAGTACCACAAAACATCTAAACAAATGGAGAAACAGTCCATGTCCATGGACAGGAAGACTACCTATAGTCACAATGTCAGTTCATCCCAACCTGATCTATAGATGCAATGCAATCCCAGCACAATCTCACTAAGTTTTTTTCTTGATATTGACAAACTGTTCTTAAAGTTTATATAGAAAGGCAAAAGACCCAGAATAACCAACTCAATATTGAAGGGGAAGAACAAAGTCTGAGGACTAACACTCTGGTGACACAATACTTGCTATTAAGCTACACTAATTAAGACAATGTGTCATTGGTGAAAGAATATTTAAATAGATCAATGTAACAGAACAGAGCTCAGAAATAGGCCCATATTAATATAGTCAACTAATATTTAACAGAGGATCAAAGGAAATGTAATCAGGATGGTCATTTCAACAAACAGGGGTGCAACAACTAAACATGCACATGCAAAAAAAAAATCTAGATATAGATCTTAAATCATTTGCAAAAATTAGCTCAGAATGAATCATAGACCCAAATGTAAAATGCAAAACTACAAAACTAAAATTCAAAACTTCTGCTCTGTGAAATCTAATATGAAGAGAATAAGTCAAACTAAAGACTTGGAGAAAAATGTTTGCAGAAGACAACTCTGATAAATATCTGTAATCCAAAATATACTAAGAACACTTAAAACTCAACAATCAGAAAATAACCTGAATAAAAGTGGGCAAAATTCTTGAACAAATTCTCACCAAAGAAGATATGCAGATGGCAAGTAACCGCATGAAAAGATGTTTGACATCATATTCAAACAATAATGCCACCATACACTTATTAGAATGACCAAAATCTAAAGCACTGACAATACCAAAGGCTAGCGAGGATATAGAGCAACAAAAATTCTCAGTTATTGCTAATGAGAATTCAATGTAACTTTGAAGACAGTTCGGCAGTTTCCCACAAAACAAATCAGACTCTTACCATACAATCCAGCAATGGTGCTCCTTGATATTTACCTAATGAATGAAACTTTATTTTCACACAAAAGCCTGCACAAGCATGTTTTTTGCAGCTTTATTTATAATTGTCAAAACTTGGAAGCAACAAAGATGTCCTTTACTAGGTGAATGGATAAATAAACTGTGATAGATTCAGATAATGGAATATTTCTTAGTGCTTAAAAAAATAAATTATCATCCCATGAAAAAGCATGGAGGAAACTTAAATACATATTACTAAGTGAAAGAAGACAGTCTTGAAAGACTAACATATTGTATAATCCAAACTGTATGCCATTCTGGAAAAGGAAAAATTATGGAGACAGTAAACATAAAAGTGGTTGCCAGGGTTTAGGGGAGAGGGAGGGATGAATAGGCAAAGCATGAAAGATTTTTAGAGCAGTAAAACTATTCTTTATGGAACTACCATGGTGAATACATGTCAGTATATATTTGTCAAAACTCGAATGTATAGCACCAAGAGGAAACCCTTACACAAATTATGAACTTTGAATAATAATGTACTACTGTTGTGTGGAATGTTGATAGTGTGTGAAAACTCTTTGCAATTTCTTCTCAATTTTTCTCTAACCTAAAATCTCTCTAAAATGTAGTTTATTAGTTAAAAAAATTAATGCCATGGCCGAGTTTTCTAAATAATATTCTGGTGAAAGAAAAAAGGGTCAATGAAATAACTTAATTTTTTAGACTTTTAAACATACATTGCCATAAATCATAACATTTTATAGATGTTTTCAGTAAACATTATTTACATATGGATTTACAATTGAAATAGGAAATTGTGAGTTCTTTAAAAAATGAAATTTCTACACCACAAACCGAGGTATTTCAGATCATATTAGCAATTGAGATAAAATTGAACCACATGATGAGGTTTGTAAATGTTGGTAACAAATTGAGCAGATTTTAATAGAAATTTAAGTTGGCATTTGAGATAACATATGTGACTTATGGTTTAGGTTGGAAATGGTTGGTCATTTTTATTCTGTGGTTTGAACTCAGTGGACTGAAGCAGTATATGATGAGTTGCTTTTAATGTAGTTTTCAGATTTCTAAACTTTCTAACCTGAGGAGCTATATATGAAACCAGAAGTCATCCTTAAAGCCTTGAAGAAGTTTCTTCCATTCAAAGAAAAACACAGTAAAGGAATTACCAACAATTTCTACTAGGAGCTACAATTACA